TGTCCCTCTCTGTTGAAATAAAAAAAAAAAAGAGAGAGAGAGAGAGAGAGAGAGAGAGAGAGAGAGAGAGAGAGAAGATAAATTTAAATAAAATAATTCTTTAAAAAATATGCATTATTGAATTTAATGTTTCTTCTCATTTTAATTGTTTTGTTTTGTTATGGGGCACATGCTCTCGCCAGACACAGACAGACAGAAATAGAGAAGATGAGAAGTCACCTCCCCAAGGGGAGGGTCACACCACAATCCCTTTTCCTCATTTCCTGCTTGGATTTGGGGCATGCGCACACGCCCCTGGTGTGATTTTCAAGCCGTGGGGTCCCAGACTCAAACCGCAAAGTTGCACAGGTGGAATCCAGCACCTTAATCACCACATCACCAGCTGGCTCTCTTCTAATTTTAAAAGGAAAGAAGATTAAGACATTTCTGTGGGCCACCAAAAGCCTTGTGGGCCACAGGCACCATGCCTGCTGTGCTTAATGGGGAAGTCGGCCCTGTCCTGGGGACTCCCAGGCGCTGAGCCGAGAGGGCCCTGCCCTGCCCTTCCTGCAGGAGGCCCCCGCTGCGCTTTCCTGGCTTCTGGTCCTCACTCGTCCTGAGTGGATTTAGCCCAGAGCAGGTCCCACGAGTGTGTGGCAGTGTGAAACCAGGACAGGCAACCCGCAGCCCCGGTCTAGGCTGCATGTACCCCTTACTCTGTGAACTTCACCTTTCTGAGCCAACTCCCTCATTCACAAAATACAAACAGTTGTAGCAACTGCCCTGTCGCACGGACTGGCTACGTGACCAAGGCCACGTCAACGAGACTCCCTGGCTTCCATTTCCCGTGTGTGAGGGCAAGTTAGGAAAGGAACGTGGAAGACCTCCACGGGCTGGGCAGTCATGGAGGGTTTTTGCCACTGTGGTCTCTGGGGGGATGAGGGAGAAGGCTGGACCCCCACGCTGTCCTGGTCCCACAGTGAGGGGCAGGTGGGCTCTCTGCTCTGCAGTTCTACACCAGGTGACGGTGGAATGGGCTGTGTGCCCATCTGTCCCCCATGGACACCTGGCCATGACTGGTCCCTGAGGATCCTCAGTATGTTCATGTCCAGTGAACACATGAGCGAGGGAAGAGCCCCAGTCACCTCCCTGCCACCAAGGCCACCTCCAGCCGCCTTCCCACTGTCAGCGTCAGTCAGCAGCCGCGGTGTTGGCGTCTGTCATTTAGCCATCACACACAGACGTTGGCGGGGGGACACTTTCATGTCAGGCTTCCTCGCTGCAGGAACACGTTTGGCAGCTCCCAGGGAGCCGTAACCTCAGAGGAGCTTGCTGTTCTCTCCCCCAGCTCCAGGGGCGGGGGCTGTGTCTCTGCTTCCTGGGGGTCTGACGCATGCTCCCTAACCCGCCCCACCCAGTCCCGCGACAGGCTTTCATCTCGTGAGCTCAAAGAGCCCGTCCCAGGTGGCAAGCGCAGCACGGCTCATTTTATGGAGTGATCCAGGCCGAGGAGGGAACGGCAGGGTCAGCCAGAGTGCCAGGGACAGACCACGGGCCCAGAGCACGGTGGACACTCCCAGGCTCGCCTGGATGCTGTCCCTGAGTCACCTGCTCCTCACGCCCGTAACAGTACCAGCTCCCCACAAACGCTCAGTAAGCCTGTCAGCCCGACCCACTCTTCAGTCTGCCTCAGACGCAGACCCCCATAGGCCTTGCGTGCACACCGAGCCTGGCCCAGGTCGCTCCCATCTCCCAGCCGTTGCCCAGGCTGTGCGTTGGCCTGGAATGCCCTTTTGCCGTTCCTCTGCCCGATGAAGTTCTCCCGATCTCTCAAGGACAGGATCAAATACCACTTCTTCCACGAAGGCTCTCCAGCCCCGAGTTCCCAAGGCAGAAGCAATGGCTGCAGCCCTGCGCCCCACATCTGTCACGTCATGCACCTCTCACTGTGTTCTGGAGCGGGGCTAGCCTGAGCCTGTGGCCCCAAAGGACCTCGCGAGGGCTTGACAGGCTAATCCGCGGTGCTCAGTATAAGCATAAGCTGACCCACCACTTGCCGGGACAGGCTGGAAGAGCAGGTGGGGCGGCGCTGGGGCCCTGAGGGCATGAATCAGAACTCAGAACTCGTGGGCTGACACTGGGGGCCTTGCTCCACGCCTGTGGGAGGTCGTCCCTCCCACAGACTGACGCTCAAGACTCTTGACTCACCCACCAGCTGCTCCAGCTTCCGGCGGGAAAATTCTGGGTGAGTGGTCCAGGGAGCAGGCTCGAGGCCCAGACACTCGGTGAACCACCTCGCAATTATGTTTCCCGAGCCTTGCGCCCTCCTGTAAAACAGGGTGATATTAGTGTGTCTCCATGGAGTTCAGCTCAGTCCTGGCAGGTGGGTGTTCGAGCAGTGCTGCCTGTCCTTAAGCTCACGAGCACTCATTCTTCACACTCGCTGTGTGTCTGCTGACCGTGACGACGTGGCCCTGTGCCCCAGCG